CACTCATCACGATAACATTATGATACAACACCGAATAGTTCGCAATACTACTAGTACAACAATAGTCGGAGGTACTCATTACAACAACATTCAATTGAAATTACACGATAGAAGTATTTAGTCCGAACACTCATCACATCACAACAGCATTTTATTTCCTAAATCGATAACATTGTTACACCATGGAATCGCCTGCTGCGCGACGACGCCTTGGCCTTGCGCGCCTGCTTGTTGTTCCTTCACCAGGTGGTCGCCTACCATCACTTGCCTGTCCAGATGGACTAGCATCTGCGCCGCTTGGAACTTCTGCATTCTTCGGGCATTTCTTGTAAGTATGGCCGCGCAGATCACACTTGCTGCATCGTAAAGTCCTCCCACCTGCTTCTGACTCATCCATATCATTTCTGATGCGTCGAGTTTGGCGTCGACCCTTTTTCACCCTTAACTTAGATGGATCTGGAATATAAAAAACTTGGGCACTCAGCGTTGTGTAAGATCCTGAGATCCCGAACCCATATATCTCCTCACTCCATGTATGAAAGATTGCTTCTTTCCTGAAATAATTTGAGACGTACACAGCAGCAAGAACGTGTGAGCAAGGAAGGTGATGAAGCTTCGGCTTCATACAACTGCAGGTACATCCACCATCCGCCTTCAAGACACCGATGCACTTGTGTGCCTTGAGCAACAACTCTATGTCTCCGTGCCTTTTTGATTTTATCTTCCATGTACTTTGTCACTACGTTGCCAAACACTATGTTGTTATCGGCCATGGACGGACCAATTTTCTTGTATCGATCCCTAAAGTACGCTTGTGTGCCGTGAAGGATGAATTCAACAATAGCAACCAATGGAAGTACCCGAACTCCTCGCATTACCCAGTTGTACACCTCTGCCAAATTGGTTGTCATTATGCCATACCGAGATCCATCGGTGTCGAACAATAGAGACCACTTCTCCTTAGGCTCATTCTCAATCCACTGAGTGAAATTTCTGATGGACGACCCTGACCTCCTTCTCATTGTTGGTGGGTCATCATGTAATGCACCAAGAGGTATGGGAGGCTCGTCACCTTCAACTTGTGGTCTGCGAGATTGCTCATCTGTTTGCTTCGTTGTCAACTCATCCAACTTGTCCCACAACTCATTAAATTTCTTCTCTTGGTTCTGTGCACAGAGCCTCTTAAAGAGCTCCATAAGATGCTTGTTCTTGAATTGTTTGTAGAAATTTGCACCCATGTGACGCATGCACCACCGACTCCGAACATCAGGCCACTTAGCTAGAAGTCCCTTCTCATCCCAACCGTTCTGCAAGTAGTCAATAGCCCGCAACATACCCGCATGACGATCATGTATAAGGCAAACGTTGGGCCTCATACGCACCACTGCAATGTGCACTCTCTCTAGGAACCAGTACCAGCTTTCAGTGTTCTCACTCTCTACAAATGCAAAAGCCATAGGTAGAACCTGGTTGTTCCCATCACACCCAATTGCTGTCAATATCTGACCTCGGTATTTACCTGTCATAAAAGTTCCATCTATGCATAGAACAGGTCGACAATGCACAAAAGCATTGATGCAAGCACCCAATGAGAAAAAGGCTCTTTGCAGCACACTCTTTGTTCGATCATCAACCGATGTAAGTGTATGTAGGTCATAGTAAGTATTATTATTCCTCTGGGCAATGGTGGCTAACAAACGAGGCAAATTATCATAAGAAGCTTCAAATGTGCCATACCTCATCTCAATAATCTTTTGTTTGGCTCTCCAGACCTTTGCATAGCTTATGGTGTACTTGAATTTGTTCTCGATGTGCCTAATAATTGATTTTGGTTCAAAACCAATGTTACTAACAACACTGCTGTACATCTCACTTGCCACAAAAGCTGAAGTGATGTTTCGGTGACACTTCTCCACCCCTTGTAAGTAGCACTTGTGCTCGGTCACAATGCTAACTTTCCAATAATCATTCCATTTACCCTTATATGCATGGACACGCCACGGACAATCTTCCTTCATGCACCTCACTTCATACACATAATTTGTTGACTTGACCACCCTAAACTCTCTCTGCAAGGAAACTGCCCAATGCTTCACCGCCTCCTTCATCTCATCCTTATGAGCATACCTTGCACCCTCAATTACCTCGTTCTCCTTATACTCCCAGGGTACATGATCACCCTCTGATATAACAAGTCCAGAGAAGTCCTCATTTGCCCAATCAGTGGCCATTACATCACCTTCCTCATCGGATGATGCGTCGTCGTCCGCTTCCTCATTATCCGAATCTTCCCTCTCCATTTCATCAACAATTATACCGACTCTCTCCCCCTCATCCGCCATGCCCATGGCCTGCTCCTCCCTTGGTTGATTTTCCTCATTTTGCATCGATGGTCCAACAACATCCCCTGCATTGATAGGACCCTCTACATCTTCGGTTTGCATTGAAACATTTATATCTTTCTCTTGTACCGACACAAATATAACGAGGGGCCATGACCGTTCAAAAGCCATTTCCACATACCGTCTCCAAGCAGCAGTGCTGTCCATCGGCATTAGTTCCCAAAAATAACCTTCTGTTGCACGACTCACTACAACTGATACTGACATTGTGTAGACTTCTTGGTCTATTCTAAATCCTCTCAACAACCAACTATAAATTGACTGAAATGTTCTCTCCGCAGGCCTATCGATGCCCTTAGATGTCATTACAAAATCTGACAGATCAACACCATCTGGACCAAATCTAATATTTCCTTCACCATGAACTATCTGAAATGTGACCTTATTTGACATTGTGCCTGATGAAAACAATAACTGCGTTAACCTCGCATTTCTGTACTACGCCCTAAGTTACATTCTCTACAATATTGTTCTCCAAAATTCTAAAAGTATGTTACATTCTCCATATCAAACTAAACTACATCTTACAATTAACACTACTGTCTATGTCTCAATTCATACTATTATATTCTATGCTCTGGATCTACACATATGTGCTGTGTGCTACAGATCTGCTAAAATATATGGAACTAAAACTAAAACGCAACATATATACTCAAACATAACATATTAGTACAAATGCAAAAGATGTATGGGAGCAAACCTGTGATGAAGTGAGCGAACCAGCAGGGCTTCGCCGCTCCCCTTCTGCTGCCCTCCCCTCTCTCTCTTTCGTTTTTTTTGGATTTTTAGTGAATATAATGAAATTTCAGAGAGGGGGGACTGGGCTTTATAGGGGGGAGGCAAAAATCGCCCTCCCCCAGGGCGGCAAGGGGGCCGCCTGCAAAATTCCATGCCCCCTCGCCGCCCATTTGCAGGCGCCCCCCCCCCACAGTACAAAATCGCCCTAGCGGAGGGCGGCAAGGGGGCCGCCTGCAAAATTCCATGCCCCCTCGCCGCCCATTTGCAGGCGGCCCCCCACAGTACAAAATCGCCCATTTGCAGGCGGCCCCCCCCACAGTACAAAATCGCCCTAGCGGAGGGCGGCAAGGGGGCCGCCTGCAAATTTCGTTGACGGCCGTCGCCCGAGAGCGAACGGCCGTCTGCCACGTCATTTTCGCCGCCCTCTGGGATGGCGATTTTTAAAAATCGCCCTCCCAGAGGGCGGTAGGCGACTACATCCGTCAATTTTCAAAATGGAAAATTATTTTTGTAAAACTTTTAATAAAAAAAATTAAAAATAAAAAAAATTCGATAGTGAGAGACCTTGCGAGTGTGATTCGCAACTGGGCCGGCCTAGGAACGAAGTAGGAATTGGGCCTCCAGCAACTTCCCCCCGGCGTATCTCGCCGCGCTCTCCGCCACCGCCACGCCTCCCGCTCCGCTGCTCCACCGCGCAGACCTTGCGCCGGCGAGAAACGGCGAAACCCAAATCCTCTCTCGAATCCCCGCGCCCGCGCTTGCTCGATGCACCAATGGCAGCAGGGGGGGGTGGGGGGGGCGCGGCTCGGGATCCTGGGGACCTGCGCCATCTGGCAGCCACGAAGCGAACCCACCGTCCACTCGCCGAGTTCAGGCGGCTTCGTCCTGGGCGAGGAACGCACGCCGCCTGCTCGACGAAATGCGCGGGAAAGACGGGAGCGGACCATATGTCCCACGAGATCGAGGAAAAGGTGCGCGCGCGTCGCAGACGCAGATCTACTCCCCCGCCGCGCCCGCGCCCCTGCCGTGAGGCAAGGGAGTTGAACAGTACACAGGAAATGGGAGGAAGACCCGTCTCGCCTAGCGCTCCAAGACCCAAGTGAGTCAACTCTTGTGCTCTGTAAATTTCCGGTACACGTTCGTTGGTTGTCCAGGCCTGGGAATTGCTTGTATCTGAAGAAAAGTTGCTCGTCTGATCCACGAATTTCTGTCCTTATCTTTGTGGTATAGTTTCACACACGGGTGAGGTGATAGGACTCCAAGAAGAACTGGAGAATGGATTATCATAATTTCTGGTATACGTTTACTCGAATGCGTGACTACAATTTGGAAATTTCCTTGTTTCACACTAAGGTCTGGTTTAGTTCCCAACTTTTTCTTCAAACTTCCAACTTTTTCATCGCATCAAAACTTTCCTACACACACAAACTTCCAACTTTTCCATCACATCGTTCCAATTTCAATCAAACTTCTAATTTTGGCGTGAACTAAACACACCCTAAGGTATGGAATACCCCCAAACTTTTTATAAGAAAATGAACATCTAACAGCACACGCTTTTGTTTTGGATGAAAGCTCATGTGAAGTTTCTAATCAAGACACCAGACACATCTAAAGTGTGCCTGGAAGGTTTGATCTTATTTAAGAACCATTAGTTACATAGGGTCCAGTGACTTGGACTTATGTCACCCAAATAATCTTATCTTATGTTCCAGTGGTGGTTAGTGCCATATACCAAAAACACAATTTCCCCGCCACTACCTCCAGTCCTCCACCAGTCCAACCCTCCAACTATATTGTCATCTACATCATACGTTTTCACAGTTTTGCAGTCTGACTTGCTCTTAGTTGTTGCAGAGAATTGGATTTACAAACTGAGCATAGCCTAGAAGGATCTCCACCACCTTTCCCTTGGCAAAACAGAAGGTCAGTTCAATGTTTCTACTCCATATGTCCATATGTGTGGATGTCCACTAAATTTGTGCTTTGGTCATGCCTATTCTGCTCTATTCTTACGTATTTGCTCTTCTACAATAAAATTAGGATGGCAGGAGTAGGACTGGTAGTTGGAGGATGGATTGCAAAGGCAGTGATTGCCAATATCTTGTCCAGAGTACGCTCCCTCCTCCACGATAATTTCAGTCTGCAAAAGGACACTGAAAAAATGCTGAATGACTTGGAGGTTGCGCTTCCTCGCATTGAGGCGGTGATTGAAGCAGCGGAGCGGAGATCAATTGAAAGCAGTGCCCTTTCCACATGGTTGCAGCAGTTGAAGGATGCTGTTTCCCATGCAGGAGATGTTGTTGATGATTTTGAAGCCAAGACAATTAAAGATCAGGTCGAAAGCAAGAGCAAGGTCAGTGCAAAGGCATACTCTACCGTCAAGGCTTTAAAGGCTTTGGTCTTTTCTGATAGTGAATTGAAGAAGCTGAAGCATGCTGTAAGAAGACTTGAAAATGTATCAGCGAGAGTTGATTCTTTCATTGAATTGATCAGGCTAAATGATGATGATACAGTGGGAAGGATTGGCCATAGCTTGCATAGTGAGACCAGCTCTTTACTTGGTGACACCAAAGTAATTGGTCGGGATGAAGAAATTAACCTGATATTGGACATCATATTGGGTTACCGCTACCACTTGCCAAGAACTAGTGAGCATGCACGACCTGATGATCAACCAAAATTTGGTCAAAGGGGAACACTTTTTGATAAATTACGGAAGATTTTCCTTACTGGAACTGCTGAATCTAGTAAATCGAGTGATAAGGCTAAACTTGAAGAATTAGAAGCAAGAAAGAAGGGGAACAAAATTGAAGAAGAAGATCCTAGCAAAGATTGCATAGAAATTGGAGAATACGAACCTAATCAGAAGGGACAAACTGAAAGATTAGATTATAATAGTTCTGATGTACATGAAACCAGTGGTTCATCTCAAAACCTTGGCATCCTTCCCATAGTTGGCATTAATGGAGTGGGAAAAACAACTGTGGCTCAAGCTGTCTTCAACAATAAGAGGGTAAAAATGTGCTTTGATCTAACAGCATGGGTTTATGTGTCAGACAACATAAGTGGGAAACAAATTATACAAAGGATCATCATGTCTTTGGAACCATGGAGTGGACTAACTGATGATGCACTTGATTTGGATAATCTTCAGCACAAACTTATTGGTATCATAAGATCTAAGAGACTTTTTCTTGTACTTGATGGTGTAAGTGATGATATAATCATTGTATGGAGTCAGCTACGAAGCATCCTACGCTGCAGTGGACCTCAAAGTATGGTTTTGGTGACAACCCAGAAGTACAGCATAGCGAATTTGCTAGGGACAATGGGTCCAATAACTTTGAATACCCTAGAACAGACTGACTTCAGGTATCTCTTTAACCACCTTGTGTTTGATGACTGCTTCTATCATCATTATGAAGTACACCTCTTTGAATCAATATGCGGAAAAATAGCTGATAAGTTCCATGGGCTGCCGTTGGCAGCCAAGACAGTTGCACCACTATTAAGGGCCAATAGAAATATGGAATATTGGGAAAATGTCCTGGGAAGTGATTGGTGGAATATTTCTGATCATGGTTTGGGAATAAACGTTCTGCCAGCCCTAGGAATTGGCTGCCTATATCCAGCGCTAAGGCAGTGTCTTCTGTTCTGCTCAATATTTCCAAGGAATTATGTCTTTGAAAAGGAAAGAGTGGTCCAGATGTGGGTGGCACATGGGTTCATTCAGTCTAGTGATAGAAGGGATATCGTTCCAGAGAATGTTGCTAAAAATTGGTTTGATGAACTAGTTGATAGGTCCTTCTTGCAACCAACAGTCTGGCAAGGCCGTTACGTCATGCATGATTTGATAAGAGAGTTCTCAGTTGCTGTTTCTTCCAATGAATATTATGTCTTTCACAGGAATTCCAAGGTTCTTCCACAATTTGCTAATCATATTTCTGTTGATAATGATAATTTCGATCTTCAATGGGGTCATTATGATCATAAAAGATTACAAACTCTGATGTTTTTTGGTCATCACAGGGTTGACAAAAATTATGGCACTCTTGGTAGCATAGTGAGAAAGTCAACTAGTCTACGTGTACTGGATTTGTCTTACATTTGCATGAGTAATGTCAGTCAGGCTTCAGATGTTCTCTGCAAGTTGTCACATCTTCGATATCTTGATCTCTCTTTTACTGGTATCAAAGATCTCCCGGAGGCATTTGGTAATCTATACCATCTCCAGGTACTTGATCTGCGGGGTTGTATAATTGAGAAGCTGCCAAAGAACATGAACAATTTGATCAATCTAAGGCATTTATATGCTGATTCACAAACCACCGCACTGATCTATGCTGTAGGCCAGCTGACAAAACTTCAGGAGTTACAGGAATTCAGAGTTAGGTTGGAGGATGGTTACAAGATAAATGAGTTAAGGGACATGAAAGACCTGAGGAAATTGTACATTACAAATCTTGAGAAAGTCTCAAGTTGGCAAGAGGCTACAGATGCAAAGCTGGTGGAGAAAAAGTCCCTTGACTATCTGCAATTGAAATGGGTGTACCAGGTACCTGAAAGTAGGTCTACCTCTCAGTTGAACAAGGATATTCTCGATGGCCTACACCCTCACTTCCAGTTGAAAAGGTTGAAAATTCTGAACTATATGGGAATTGATTTTCCTTACTGGGTGCAGCGTCTCACAGACCTCGTTGCTGTTAACATAATTAACTGCCGATGGTTGAGTGTTCTGCCACCATTGGGAGAGCTCCCACGTCTCAAGAAACTATCTCTTTTTGGTCTATCCTCTATAACTCATATTAATGATCAAGTATACGGAACCAATGATGTGATCTTTCCATATTTAGAGGAGCTGCACTTCTCAGAATTGTTTAGCTGGGAGCAATGGTCCGAGGCAGAATATAAACTGCTTATTCCTCACCTACGGAAACTTGGTATAAATGCCTGCAGCAAATTAAGTCTATTGCCGATTGAAACTTTGAGTTCATCAGTCAAAGAGCTTCATCTTTCTTCATGCACATCATATATCAGTATGCTGCCCGCTTATTTGAAAAGACTGACGTCCCTCACCAAATTGAGCATACAGGACTGCTCTGCCACATTACTAATCCCGTGCCATTCCTTGACATTACTGGAGCACTTGCAGCTGGAAAGCTGTTTCGATGTACATTTTGAAGGGGGCATGCAGTACTTTACCAAACTGAAGAAGCTAGAAGTACATCGCTGCTTTGATGTCACTCAGAACATATATGAACAAACATCACTAGTGGAGAGATATTCTCTGATGGGGGGTCTTCAGTCCCTCATCCATCTTGTTATCGACGACAGATTCATGTATTACAGATACTACCATATGCTGAACACTCTTTGTTCAATTCGAACTATGAAGTTTTGTGCCTTTGATCTTTCCGAGTTCACCACGGAAGACGAGGAATGGCTCCAGCAACTACAGTCCCTACAGGAGATCCAGTTTGCTTCATGTCGCAATCTCTTACGCCTTCCTTCTAACCTGAATAATATGTGTAACCTGAAGAAGGTCGTTCTGAACGATTGCTGCAAGCTCCAGTCACTGCCGCTGAATGGCTTGCCAGATAACCTAAAAGAATTCCATGTCTCAGGAGGTTCTGAAGTACTGGAGCAACAATGTCAGAAAACAGATGGGGATGAATGGCAGAAAATTTCTCATGTGCCATACGTTCGGATAAATGGCAGAACTATCCAGATGATTTCACATGATCTTGGAAGTTAGCAACACATGTATAACAAGGTTACTCTAGGTTAAGTTATGTGTAGGCATTTTGTGGGATATCATTGTTGGTACTTCATCGGTAGGAATTAGGAGTTTCTGAAAACTTCAAAGGTATGGTTTCAAAAAACCAAATTCACATTAACTGCTCCGGCTTCTGTCACATATCTGGATATACAAGCCACTAGATTGTCAGCGATCTGCTCAAAGAGGGAAATGAACCAATCAAAAACTGGGAAGTAGCCATTTTTTAAAAAAAATGGAGAGTGCTCTGATTATTTTCTGATGTTTTCACGTTTCAACAGAAGCCAATTTTTCATCGTTTTCCAGTGCAGACTAAGGTGATCTTTCTCCATGGCTATTACATTTTTATTATGTTCTATGATATATAAATCCAATTTTTGGTAAACAGCTGAATTTTGTCTCGTGATGACAGATTGGTATTCGGAGCGATGCAGAATTGCAGATACCATCAGACGCACTATGACTGTATACTAATATACTGTACTACTGAATTCGCACATCACACTGAGCGTTGTGTGTTGTCTGGTAGATTGCTAGTCTCTGGTATGAGATGCACACTACATATATAGTTACGAGTTATGACTTCATATTCATTCTCCTATCGAATAGTAAAAGAGCTTTTAAATGATTATACTCTATACTGTTGCAGCTTGCACCTGCGCAGTTCTGCGTTGCACCTCTTCAGAAATGATAACCACCGAGGTTTCAAAATAAATGTTCAAACGAATGATATGTTTCATTCGCTGTACTTGTGCTTGCAAAGGGCAACGCAAAATTTGTCTAAGAGCAAGTTTAATAGTCATACAATAGTTGGCTATAAAAATATACTATACCATTAATGCTCGATCTCACATCGCATACACTCATAATGTCTTGGAGTCCGTGTTGCAGCCGACTATAAATCTGTAGCCCGCTTTCTTCTCTCTCTTCTCTTTTTTTCTCGATATGTGGTTATAGCTGGCTTATAGCTTGCTATTGTACCTGCTCTAATGAGTTGGTTTGGTTTGTGGTCTAAATAGGCCTTACCAAATTTTGTCAATGCCAATTTTTGGTAAGTTTTGACATGACTAATTTTGGTAAGGCAAAGTTGTATTTGGATTGAAGCCAAAATAGCCTAAGTTCACTATTGAAATGGCATATTTTCTTAGGCATGCCAAAATTTGGCTTCAAACCAAATAAACACTAAACACTATTGAAATTGTCAAATATTGGTAAGCCTAATTTAGACCTCAAACCAAACCAGCCCAATACCACAATCGAGCATATGTGGATCTATTTGAACGAAACTCTTATGTCTTGCCACACTCACATGTCCACACGAAGTAAATAAACTGTACCCATGTCATTCTTACCAGGACAAAGGCGAATCATGGAATTGTACAAGGCAGCAGGCATAAACAGCAGAGAAAACAGTACTTGTATAAAAGTAGAACACCCTGATTCATAGGGAAAAGAGAGCATTCAAAATTGAAATCTTTTTACACGGAGCGTTGGATGGTTTGGCTTATTACTCATATATGTCCACAAGCATGAAACAAAGTTATTCTTTGCAAGGAAACCCAGCTAATGAAAGCTACATTTCGCTCTCAGACATCAAACATGAGGCTGAATTTGGTGGCAAGAGGAATGGATATAATGACAGCTCCCAGGGCAGCACCAAAAATACGGTGTGAGATTGAGAACGTAGCACTCAGCTGCGGCTTCTTCAAAGGGAGATGGGGTGACAGTGGGCGGTTTGCAACAGGAGCCGACAGGGGACGACTTGTGTGCAGGAGTCGGTTTCCAGATGGGAACATCTTTGGTCTCAGAGCTCCTAGGGGTGAAGATGTGTAGCTCCTAGCTTGTCCAGAACTTGAGGATTGTCTCAGATGATCTATGTTGTTGAAGGATGAGTTTGAGCTACCAAGGGCACCTGAAAACGATGAAAAAAGGTGAGGGCATTTATTTAGTTGTTTGAAGCAGTTGCAAAACATGTACATCAAATTATACAATATACACTAGCGTCCAGTTCAATAAAAAATTAGAGACTAACCTAAAAACAGTGAAAACCATGTCTCGTGTAAACCAATGACGACTTCCATTTTCTTAAAAAAAAACAATAACTTACTCTAGTGTGGTTGCAAGAAATTTGTGTCCTACGTCAGCTACAAGTCAATTACTGCATTGCATAATGTACTTGGCTACCGCATTATGAACAATAGGGTGGCTGCCCATATTATTGATTGATATATCAAAGGCAAACCAGAAGGCAAGGCATATAGACATATTCATGCAAGAGTCATTTACCGCGGAGAGCAAATGGAGCATCACTGAGGGGTGCAAACCGGGCCTTGCTCTGGTACTTCTCCATTCCTGAACAAACAAGCAGTAATGAATCGTCTTAATCAACACAAAATCACGGTTTAGTAAAAGGAATCTATTTATCCTTTCTGTTTTGCAAAACTGAGTTTGAGGAAGAGCATTAATGCTGGAGACCTGCCAATCAGTTGAACCTACTGAACTTCATACCTAGATCAAATGATGCATTTTCGCAACATTTGTACTACAGTAAAACTCGGTGCTTAACAGAAGGCTTTGAATTGTGTTACAAAAAAAGAAAATAGTATAACAAATTAAATTGTGGGAGCAGATAACCAGATCGATCTCACTGCAACCATGTGCAATTGGCACACCCAACATTAAAACCTCCCATTCTTCCAGGGCATCTGCTAATCCATGAAGCTCCCACCCGTCCGAGTAAGGATTCGGGGGTAGGGTTGGAGGGAGGGTTTGGTTTCTGACGAGCCAGTTGGCGAGGCTAGGGTTTGGGAAAGGTGGTCGCCTAGTAGTAGTAGCAAATTAGGGTGGAGCACGAGGAGGAGGAGGAGACGGCGGCGGGACATAAGGGCGCTGCCGGCCGGCCGGCTGGCCGGCCGTGGTGGAAGCGGGGGTGGCCGTAGCACCGGTGATGGCGCGGGCGGGAGGCGGGCTTGGGGTGGCGCATGGAGGCGTGCGGATCTGGGGGCGCTGATGAAGATTCGGGGGGCGGGGAAGGGATCGGATAGAACGATCGGCGAGGAGGAAGAAGAAGGGGGCGGTAGAGCTTACCGGGCAGGACGGTGGCGGCGGAGATCGCTGGAGGTGGGGGTGGGGGGAGTCGAGGCGATGTGTTTGGTGGCCGCGCGAACCAGCTGGGAGAGAGAGAGAGAGGTGTCGTGAGTTTCGGATTGTTCACTTTGTTACTGAAATTTTGATTTTTTTTTTTACTGCCTCTATTCCATAATAGTTGTATTTCTAAGGGTGTGTTTGATTTACCGTCAAAACTGGATGGGATATGACGGTACATATTTTGTTGAATGTAGTGATCCAATTTTTTGTTTAGTTGGGTGAATATGGTGATACATTCTTTTTTTTTTAGAGATGAAGGTGGATTTGGTGATCCAATTTTTTATTTAGTTGGAAAGAGTAGGGTGGATGAGCAGGTGTGGTCACCTCTCACTTAGAGAAGGTGAGTATACCCCCATCAAATTCATATATACAACAAATCACAAATTTAAATATATATACTACTACAAATCACAAATTCCCAACAAATCACAAATTCATATATATATATATATATATACACTACTACAAATCCACATAGAGAAAAAAAAGAAAAATAACAAAGAAAAAAAAGGCGGGAAGAAGGGCCCTGAGCTCGCCGCCGCCGCCCTCGCATCCTGCCGCCGCCACCGCCGTCTCCGGGCTCACCGTCGCCTCTCTTCCCGCTCGCCGTCGCCCCCTCTTCCACGTCGGCCGCCAAGCTCGCCTTCCGCCGCCGCCGAGCTCACATCCCGCGTCTACGCCGAGCTCGCCGCCACTGCCCTCGCATCCTGCCACCGTCGCCCCTCTTCCCGCTCGTCGTTGCCCCATCTTCCACGTCGCCCGCCAAGTTCGCCTTCCGCCGCCGCCGAGCTCACATCCCTCGTCTACGCCGCCCTCGCATCCTGCCGCCGTCACCTCTCTTCCCGCTCGCCGTCGCCCCCTCTTCTGCGTCAGCCGCCGAGCTCGCCTCCCGCGCTGGTCGCCGCCCTCGCCGCTCGCACCAGCCGCTGCCTCGCTCGCGTCACCATCATTCTCGCTAGCGAAGAGGGGTGACGCGACCCGCCTCGCCCAGCTCGCCTAGCGCTTGGGAGGCTGCATCCGGGCAAATCACCCTGATCCCTTCATCCGGCATTTGAGGGGAATATTCCCCTCTGGGCCGCCCAATCCCACATTCGCCCTCCAACCAAACAGCCATAAAAAATGGGCCGCCATGTTCTATCCACCCAAAACCCTCCATCCAACCACCCAAAACCCTCCATCCAAACACACCCTAAGATTTAAAATTCGTCCCAATATACTTGTCACTACAAAGTACTAGTTGTTACATCCATTTCTTTATATTCAAATTTCTTTCATTTCTACCCCTAAACTACTAGTCCACTCCTAACCATATACCATTTAATGTGGGGGGTATTATAGTCTTTTTTTTTCTCAAACCTTAGTCCATGCTAAACTATCTAGGATGACAAGTATTTTGGGACGGAGGGAATATTATCAAATTTTAACATATTTTGATATTATCAACTTTTGATAGTGTTAGTTTTGTTTGTTTTCATATCTTTATCAAATTTTGGTAGAGTTTTAAGAGAGAGAGCTTCTAAAACTACCAAAATTTGATGAGGTGGCAATGGTAAAAGTGTGTTTAGTTTGTTGCCTTACCAAAATTTGATAAGGTTGAAACCGGTACTTGTGTTCGTGTTCGACTTTTTCATGGGTTCGGTCACGACTCATGAGTTGAAATTTGGGTTGAATGTAGAAATTTGTATTACTGTACATATCTTAAAATTTACTCAAATTTAAATACACATATAAAGACATTTTTACATGTTGTGAGCATGACAGAACCAAAACTTTTAAGCACTGATTATTTTCTTTGAAGTAGAAAAGTATTGGAAGTTTAGAGGTGGACGTTAGTGGTAAGATTAACACTGAAATTTGATTTTTATTCCATTTCCTTGTTGTTTCTTGACAAGTAATCTGTATAAGAGATCCATCCCTCCTTAAAAACTCCCTCCAACCGAATGCACTCTAAAAGAAATATGCCGAGATCTAATTTATGCCATGTTTGACACAGATGCAGATTCTAGATTCACATTGGATTTGAAGTGAAGCTTGTATGTCAAATTATAGTGGTTCAAAATTTTATACTTAAAATAGAAATAAAATGATTCATTCTAATGTTACCAACGAAATCAGAAAATCAAATCCATAAATTTGTGGAGCTAGGAATACCAATCTTCAAGAAATCTTATATCTGTAGCAGTGCCAAATAAGACCTTAGTATGCGTTGCTCTTGCTATATTGATTTCATAAATCTTTATGACAGCTAAAATATCAAATCCTTTAGTAGTATTTAAAAGTTTAATAATAAATATTTGCCATTTAACTAAATCTTCTAAAACGTCATTGTTTGGCAATAAAACAATATCTACGATGTAAACTTTACCAATTTAGAACACAAGCTTTACCCATTTTCGATCAATGTTATTGAAAAAAATCACATCAAACACTGTGACAAATATCAGCGGAAAAAAACATTGTGTCAAATAAAAAAAGGAAATAAAATACTCGAATAATCAAACTTGGGTACATATACATATTAAGCTTATTCTAATGACCAAGACATACATTCTAATGATGTTTTAAAATCAAGAAATAAAGGGATTGGATAATCAAAATATTAAGCTTACTCGAACTACGTAGAATTAATATTTTTATATAAACCCTTTCAATACCCTTTCGACCAAGGAAGAATATGAAGATCTCATATGAGGTAGTCTCTACTTTACATTTGACAAATATGATTTCATCCTACTAAAGTTAACTAGTGTTGGACTTAATTTTTTTTTATTAGAGTCTAGGTGAAACTCACTATGTTGATTTTGTATAAACTAGGTGGTTCATCATGGGATCATAACTGCAAACGTTCACTAGACTCTAAAGTGACAAACACCTTATTCCTTTACCTTTTTTTCACCAGGAACCACACATTAGATCCACTTATCGTTTCACCTCACGTCGCAGACTACAGGCGAGCGCGTTCTCTAGCATCGTTGGGTAGCGGAAAGATCCCCTGCCCCTCCAGCAAAACGACGTGCCGACGGGCATCTCTTCTGCTCTACTCCATGTTCTTCCTCTTTGGCAAGAAGATAGTAAGGCTCCGCGCACCCCCTTCGTTCGCTCCCCATTCTTCATCTCCAGCAATAAGACAGTGATGGCACCACTCTCCTTACTTATCTCTTATCTTTACAAGGGCGGTGACGAGGTGCCATCCCACCTTCCTCAGATCTGACGCATAGCACCCTTTCTTCTTCGCGCATGTTGTATGAATTGCCAAAGTTCTTAAATTTTTTTTATTTCGAAGATGACCTTTCGAAAATGAGTTGAATGTGTAAAGTATTAGGTATGAAATATCGAGTTGAAACTTCTAAAATCGGGTTTCTAAGTTTAAGGGTTTGAATAGGAAGCTTTCAAGTTTTCACATGAATATTTCAAAATCTGACCAGATGATTTGTAATCCGAGTTGAAAGTTTGAATTATAGAGTTGGAAGTTCTATATATCCGAGTTTAAAGCTTTAATCATCCGGTTGAGAATTTTAGTGAAAGTTTTAATCATTGGGTTTGAAATGATATCAATCTGAACAAGCTCTAAGAAAAAGAATATTGACCAATCAGTAGACGTATCTTATTTATGTCTCTATATATCATAGCTATCGTGAATAAGTTTTATAGGAACCCAATTATTAAACTTTAATCTCAAAGTGTTAAGTACGATACTACCACTCCAGGAAAATAAGCCCGAGAAAACTCCAGGAAAATAGTACAACCTCGTGCGCTGACACAGTGCACCCCTTCTAGAAAACCCTCGCCAAATTTTCGTGCAGCAGACGCCGTAGACCCCACACCCTCCCGGACTGTTGGTAGTGGATCTCGGAAGGCAAAACCCCGACCAAAACACCCAAAAAAGAAAAAACAAAAAAAAAACACAAAATGAAATTCCACCGAGACCAGACCAAACCAAACCAAACCGAACTCCACAACACAACGCCTCTCCCCCTCCGCCCTCCTCCTCCGCTTCCTTCCCTTCCTTCCTTCCTTCCTTCCGCCTCGCGTCTCCTCGTCCTCACCTCACCTCGCCTCGTCTTCCTCCTCGCATCGCCCTAGCCCTAGGCCACCTCGCCATTTGATGCGGGGGCGCCCGCCATGGCGTCGTGGGGGCTGGGCTGGAAGCGGAGCTCCGAGATCTTCCACCTCACCCTCGACTACGGGGACCTCGCGGATGGACCTCCTCACCATCACCAGCAGCAGCCGCCGCCGCCGCAGCAGCCGGGCTCCCCTCCCACGCCATCCAGCGCGGGCTCCACGCCGACGTCGTCGTCGTCTTCGCCGACGGCGAGGAGGAGCGGCGGCAGCGGCGAGTTCGGGTTCCGGATCGAGCTCGACTGGTCGGCGGGCGACGACGAGGACCAGGTCGCGCTGCGGCTCCAGTCCCAGCTCATGGTCGCGCTCCCCCCGCCGCACGACGCCGTCTGCGTCGATCTGTCCCCGAGAGGGGAGGGCGACGGCGGCGAGGAGGGTGCGGTGGCGGTGGAGATGCGGGTGGTCAGGAGGCGGGAGGCGCTGCGGTCGGTGCGCGTGGCGCGGGCCGCGGGGTCCGCGGCCGGGAGCGGCGACGGCGCCGGGGTGCTCTCGCGGCTCATCAGATCCAACCTCGCGCCCGCGCCGGCCGTCGACGGTGCCGCTGCCACGGGCGTCCCCGTGCTCGCCGACCACTGGCGCTCCGTCGCCGTGCTCAGCCTCTGCAACTGCGGCTTGCTGGTGAGTCCATTTCTCTATCTCTTCCCCCTCCCCCTGATCCGTGCGAAAACATTCCATCCCGTACGGCCTATTGTTTTAACACATGCCTGATCAATGTAGAATTATGTTACCGCCGTGATTGCTCGATGCTGTAGTGATCTAGGAGGTGGCATTGTAGTGTTGTCGTCTTTTGTGGGAGAATTTGATTGGATGTGTATAAAGGAGGCTTGGGCATATGTTTTGGTTGCTTCACATACCTTTACTTTTAGCTATAGAGATTCTGATTATCAGGTTTGACCACACATTGTGCATGCTACGACCACTGAAGATTTCTTAGAAATGCTTGTTCTGTGGCTCTGTCCAAATGTTGTTCTCTTGTCAGACAGACCTCCTGGGTGGCCTATTTTCATGAAATTGTGTTTGGTTTTGTGGAGTTCGTTTGATTTCTTGATTTGTACTGATCTGTATAATACGTCCTGGTTTAGTCGTGCAAAGATGGATATGCTTGAATTATGCAGCAATCACCTAATAATTGTGTTTTTTTTTTGTTTGTTTGTCCCCTAAATCTGTTGCCATGAAAACTTAGGGATGGACATGTAGATGCTATAATGATCTAACCATGAAATGCTATGCAAAACTTGGCAGATGCTTCCTGTTGAATTAACTCGCCTTGCACTTCTTGAGAAGCTACATCTTGACAACAACAAATTGTCAGTTTTGCCACCTGAAGTTGGTGATTTGAAGAAATTGATAGTGCTGACAGTCGACAACAACATGCTAGTTTCTGTACCTGGTTAGTGATCATGCCTGCATCTAAATTAAAAACTTAAAAAAATTATGTTTCACAGCGTATTTAAGACTTGAAGACTTGTGGTCTTTCAAGTTTATGTTATATCAACTGCCCATCAGCCCATGCACCAATCTAATATCTTATTTCCCTTTGACCAAGCAGCAGAACTGCGACAGTGTGTTTTGCTGGAGGAATTATCGTTGGAGAATAATAAGCTTGTCCGCCCATTACTGGATTTCAGGTTATTCAATTGTCTTACAGAGGCATTTTTTTATTGACGGTTTCTTCCTGTTGGTGCTATTAAGCTAATTATTCATTCTTTGTTCCGAACAGGTCAATGCCTAAGTTGCGTGTATTGCGCTTGTTTGGAAATCCTCTAGAGTTTCTCCCAGAAATTTTGCCACTGCATAACCTTAGGCATCTCACACTTGCAAATATTAGAATTGAAGCACTGGAAAGTCTTAGATCTGTCACTGTACAAATTGAGGTTGGTAAACTATCCTGCATTGTTATTCTGTTAGCTAGGTTGTTTCACTACTAGCAATCCTTTTGATAAGTGTGTATTTTGGTTTTAATTCCAGACTGAAAATAATTCCTACTTCGTTGCGGCCAGGCACAAACTTAGTGCCTTCTTTTCACTTGTTTTTCGGTTCTCTTCCTGTCACCACCCTTTGCTAGCCTCTGCTTTGGCCAAAATAATGGAAGATCGTAGCAACCAAGTTGCAATTAGCAAAGAAGAAAATGCTGTCAGGCAGCTTATAAGCATGATAAGCAGTGATAATCGTCATGTGGTACATATTCAATCTCCCTAATTCATTGTGCTCAAAGTTCTGTGGAAACAAAATGCTCATTTCAAGCACAACACAGTTCCTTCTTTTAATTTAGAAGTTACTTTTGCAGGTTGAGCAAGCATGCCTTGCTCTTTCATCACTGGGATCAGATATTTCATCAGCTATGCTACTTATTAAGTGTGATATCATGAAGCCTATTGAAGCTGTACTGAAATCATTTAATGAAGAAGAATTAGAATCAGTATTGCAAGTTGTAGTCACCTTAACTTTTGTTTCTGATCATGTTGCTCAAAAAATGTTGACGAAAGACGTTCTGAAGTCACTGAAAACACTTTGTGCACACAAGAACTCTGAGGCAAGATGATCTGGATTTAGACTCTGGTTGATGTGTTGTTTCGATACCCACCGGTGAGCTCACTTGTATCTGTTCCCATTTTCTAGGTGCAACGTCTATCTCTATTTGCAGTTGGCAATTTGGCTTTCTGCTTGGAGACTCGTCGCACCCTCATGCACTCTGAAAGTTTGCGCGACCTTTTAATTCGCTTAACTCTTTCACAAGAGAAGCGTGTCAGCAAGGCAGCTGCACGTGCTTTGGCAATTCTAGGTATGCTTGTTTTGGTACTGAATCTTAATTTATGTGATCCATTTTCCTGAATATTCAATAACTATATGTGTTGATTAGTTTGTGAATATCTCTTCAATCCTTTTAGGTGAGAACGAGAACTTGCGTCGAGCAATAAGAGGAAGACCAGTTGCAAAGAAGGGTCTGCGCATTCTATCAATGGATGGTGGTGGCATGAAAGGCCTTGCGACTGTCCAAATTCTTAAACAGATAGAGCAAGGGACTGGGAAACGCATACATGAAATGTTTGACCTCATATGTGGTACATCGACAGGTGGCATGCTTGCGATGGCTCTTGGAGTCAAGCAGATGACTCTGGATCAATGTGAAGAAATATACACAAAACTTGGTGAGTGTCTTTTGGCTCTTACTTTCCACATTTTTCTTATTGTGTTGCCAAGTGAACTGTTGGTTTCTCCAGGCAAACTTGTCTTTGCTGAACCTGCCCCCAAGGATGAAGCTGCAACGTGGAAGGAGAAGATTGATCAGCTTTTTAAAAGTTCATCACAGAGTTTTAGGGTGGTTGTACATGGATCAAAGGTAAATAACATAATAACTTGTTATTGATGTGGTCTTTCATGTGACACAATGTAGTTAGTGACCAAAGTCTTAATTACAGCACAGTGCAGATCAATTTGAGAGGTTACTAAAGGAAATGTGTGCTGATGAAGATGGTGACCTCCTTATAGAGTCTGCTGTAAAAGGCATTCCGAAGGTTTTTGCTGTATCTACTTTAGTCAGTGTCATGCCTGCCCAACCATATATATTCCGAAATTACCAGGTTTGTTTTCTTACCATATATACAGTCTGTGCATGACCATGTCAATGCTTGTGCTTATTAGTCAGGAAACTGAAGAAGAGTGCAGATTCACAAGTTTTTTTTTCTCTTCTTGAATATTGGGCCATCTGTTAACCTCATAACATGTTCCAGTACCCACCTGGCACTGTGGAAGTATCATCAGTCATGACAGAAAGCCCATCAATTGGCTCAGCTGGAACGCCCGTTTCTGGTGCCCCGGTCGGTATTAAACCAATTAACACGGTTGGAACTGCTGTTTCTGGTGCACCGGTTGGTATTAAACGTGGTGCTTTCATGGGTAGCTGCAAGCATCGCATATGGGAAGCCATAAGAGCATCTTCTGCAGCTCCATATTATCTGGATGATTTCTCTGATGGTAGATATTCCTAAACTTAGTTGTGGATATTGTTTTGTGCAAGAACAGTAGGCCTCTATTTGTTTGAGTCCTCAAGATTTGTTATCCACCGCAGTTCTTATAGCCCTTTTTTTTTCTTCCTTTCTCTTCAGACGTAAATCGTTGGCAGGATGGAGCTATTGTAGCCAACAATCCCACAATCTTTGCGATAAGAGAGGCACAACTTTTGTGGCCTGATACGAGAATAGATTGTCTAGTTTCAATAGGGTGTGGTTCAGTTCCAACTAAGGTAATATACATCATAGTTGTCGACTCTTTTGTTAACACTATTATTCATTACAACTATTAAGTATCAGTGGCAGAGACAGAAATGCAAAAAAAAAAATGGTTGAATCGGGCCAATAGTGTTAGTTTTTTTTCTCAAAATTTGCTAAATCTACAATAAATTTAGTGTAAAATTTGGAGCCATGGGGGGAGTCCAGGCCTCTGCTTGCCTCCTCCTGTCTCCGCCCCTGTTAAGTGTTGGGCAGCCTTCCAAGCAATGGGCAATCCATGTGCTGGAAAACCAATTATTTACTGAATTCCTCACATTTTAAAGAAATATTGTTTTCCCAATTTTGTAATACGTTGAACACATGTACAATATGTCGGTATATTGGAACTGAAACTTTCATAGGTTCAATATCGTTCCAGGATAGTAAATTTTAGAGGCTAAAATTTTAGTCAATTTCATATATTAAAGTTTTTTTTTGTTTTGCAAGTGACATAATATGGGAATGGGATCTATTAATTCGATACACTACATATAATCTGTAGCTTATATTAGCCTCATCTGTTGGAAACCACAAGTCAAGGCATACATTACTAGAAGAAACACCTGACTGATCCAAGATGAATAATTTTTGTTTTTAGTTTGAAAAGTTAACTTCTATGGTACATTAAGTTTACACTTCCAGTGATCTCGTTGTGAGCTATACATCTATCACATTGCTTATATATATAAATTTATTCCATGTGTTATGCATCTAGAGTCGGAGAGGTGGGTGGCGCTACTTGGACACAGGGCAAGTTTTAATAGAAAGTTCATGCTCTGTAGAGAGAGTTGAAGAAACTTTGGATACACTGATACCAATGCTCCCAGAAATGCAGTATTTCCGCTTTAATCCAGGTAATTTGAGTTCCAAGGAAATCCACAGAACAGCAACTCGATCATAGTGTACTGTTTAATGAGTTCTAGTACATATTTACCAATGCACTTTGATATTGAAAGAATGGGAATCTTGTTACTGTGGCAGTTGATGAGCGGTGTGGTATGGAACTAGATGAGACTGATCCTGCTGTCTGGCTTAAGTTGGAAGCTGCAACTGATGAGTACATTCAGAAAAACTTTCAAGATTTCAAGAATGTTTGTGAGCTTTTAGTTCCAAGATACCAAGAGGAAGAAAAGTCATCTGAAACTACCAAATCAATGTTGTTTTCAAGATTCAAGCCATCAAATTCAGGTTTGTCTTCTCCAGGTTTGCACTTTGTGTAATGATTCGAAGGAACATTTGGTTGATTCATTTTTCAATCCTCTAATTCAGGTTTTAGTGAAAGTAATCCTACCTTAGGATGGAGGCGTGTGGTTTTACTTGTAGAGGCTTCATATAGTCCTGATTTTGGGAAGAAAGTAAATCATGCCCGCTCGCTTGAAACATTCTGCTCCCAGAATGGTATCAGGCTTACTCTAATGAACAGTGCTTCTGGGTTTGGAAAGGCAGCTACCACACTTCCGACTCCAATTACTTCTCCCTTATTTACTGGCAGTTTTCCATCTAGTCCACTTCTATATAGTCCAGAGGGCACCCAAAGAATTGGCCGAATTGACCTGGTTCCGCCGCTTAGCCTGGATGGCAACCCAACTGCAAAGTCCTCGCCGCCAACGTCACCTCTTAAGTCATGGCAGCCATCTGTACATGTTCAATCACTATATGATAAGTTGCAAAATATGCCTCAAGTTGGTGTGATACATATGGCACTTCAAAACGATTCAACTGGCTCAATATTGAGGTATTTTTTATCACGATTTCTTTTACTGAAATAAGCGTCAGTGTGTTTACTTTTTTCTCTAGTTTTGATTATGTGATGCAAAAATTACTACCGCAGCTGGCAGAATGATGTGTTTGTAGTTGCGGAACCAGGGGAACTTGCAGACAGGTTTCTCCAGTGTGTGAAAACTAGCTTGTCAGCCATGTTGCATGGATGTAAGAGAAAGGGTGCATATTCCTTGTCAAAGATTTCATGTTTGTCTGAGTTGGTTGCAGAGTGGCCGTCGTTTGAAATTGGTGGGATTCACCACCGCTATATAGGGCGCCAAACACAAGTAGGAACTGTTTTCCTTCTTTATGTTTCCAAGACAAATCATTATGCATATAATAATCTATCTTGTCGCAGGTAATGGAAGATAATCAAGAAATTGGTGCCTATATGTTCAGGAGGACAGTGCCTGCTGCTCATATGACACCTGAAGATGTTCGATGGATGGTATATGCCAGCCTGGATAGCTAGCACTTCCACTGAAATGCTCTTCAAATTCTATTCTTATGTAGTGTGTTAATTGTGCTTAGAAAGGACATGTGACAAAATATTCATGCAAGTGACATCTGATGAAATTGGATGCTAATTTCCAACTAAATTCTGGTATAGTACATTACTGGTAGTTGATTCCTCCAGTCAACTATAAATTTAAGATCAAACCTTCATATTTTTCTCATGGTGCAGCCATCAAAATGATATCATAGAAAAGAGCATATTTGGTCAATGATCAATCTGGCCAGCTATTGACCAAACCAAAATCTGGCCAATGATCAATGCCTCACATTACTGAAAAAATTTAGTCAGGAACCAAATGTCAGACATACTCTAATTGCTGCCAATGCTGTAGTAAAGATGTGTTATTTACATCTAGTGATGCTGAAATCGTTAGCATGCCTTTTTCTATTTGCAATGTATCTAGAGTTTAGGGCACTATCTAATGTTGATTCATTACATACATGTTTCCCAGGTTGGAGCATGGAGGGAGAGGATCATTGTATGCAGTGGTAAGTATGGCCTTGCTCACGGCCTGGTCAAAGCATTCATGGATTCTGGTGCCAAAGCAGTCATCTCGTCGGCCATGGAGCCTCCAGATTCCCAGTCTATAGTATACCATGGGATGGAAGTAAATGGCAGCCTTGAGAACGGGAAGTTTGTCATTGCCGATGATGAGGCTTCCGAGTCTGAGGCGGAACCTGTTAGCCCTACGAGTGACTGGGAAGACAGCGACATGGAGAAAAATGGCGATCGCAGCAAAGATTTCGATGATGAGGAGTACATGGCTCAGTTCATCTGCCTCCTGTATGACAAGCTGTTCCGCGAGGGCGTGACGGTGGACACGGCGCTCCAGCAAGCGCTCCGGTCACATCCAAAGTTGAAGTACAACTGCCATTTACCCAATGTTTTGTAGGTAGGAGTACATTCACAGTCCTTATAGAAATATATACCAAGATGAATATAGAAGAAGAAAAGAATAATATGATCTGGCGGATTCATGAGGGGGTTTATAGAGTTTATACTCGTAATTTCGTTGTTGAGGCTGTGGTCGCAGACTGTTTGTTTCCCCCAAGTGAATCTTTCGGCGAAATGCTGTTTGTAATTCTAGGCTAGTACATAGAACATGTACTGACGGCAACATGGACATAGCAGTTAATCTGAGACAATAAAGGATGAAGTTTTGCTTGCTGTTGCAGTAATGCTTTGCTTGAAGTTCATGCTATTGCTTGCTGTTAGGATTTGGCATCTTAACATGTTATTATGTGAACATCAAAGCTTCCAATTCCAATAGTATCATGCATCCAAAGCTTCTTCTTACTTTCATATTGAAACAGTGGAAGATACTACTTGTAACAACAATTTCTACAAAGCATAGCCTCACACAGCGAAGAAAGTGAAAGATACAGATGAAGCTACTTCCTCTTGAACTGTAAACAACTTGTGAATTTCCCGGCTAAACTCTACCAAACACAAGAAAAACTTGGAGAAACTTGAAAAAGAAAAAAATAAGAAAAGATAAATACGTAGTATACTAGTATAGCCGAAACATATCCAGGCATCAAGGTCGTCGTCGTCGGCGAAGCGATCGATCAGGCGGCCAAGGTGGCGGCGAAGCCGAGGATGAACTCCCTGGTGTCGTCGGCGGCGCGGTCGAGCGCCGTCCGGCCGTCGACGTCCTTGACGTCGTACTTGGCGCCGGCGCGGAGGAGCTCCTCGAGCTTGGGCTTGTCGCCCTCGGAGGCGGCGAGCATGAGGAGGATGTCCACCGGGTGGATGTCCTGGTTCAGCAGCGCCTCCATCTTGTCGTAGGTGCCCTCCACCGCCAGCATCCCCATGTAGTTGAAGTACTACAAGCGCAGACAGAAAGATTCAGATACATTCAGAATCTCATCTCAGGAATCAAAGTTACTATTCTGAATCTTTCTTGTCACTAGAGCTTTCCATGTTCAGGTGCTGTTCTTCAATCTGAATGTGCTAGTCTACAGCTATCTTGAATTCTTGATTAGCATATTCAGAATTTCAGATACCCTGCAGCTGCAATTTGCATTTTGTCCATGAAACTACAAAGACTAAATTGCGAGGTGATTGTTGTTTTTTTCTTTTCTTCTCTTCCTCTTTGCTACTGCTGGCTATGATACGAGCCATCGTTTTGCTTATTCGCGGAATAAGCGAAGCAAGCGAAACGGAATATTTGCAAATAAAAAGTAATTTGTAAATAAAACTTTTATATGTATATTCTTAGAGATTTAAAAGCAAATGCTGAAAAATATACTTCAATGAAAAAACCTCTAAATCAACTCCAAATTTAAAATTCAAATGTTGGTTGATAAGTATAAGCATAAGGAAAAAGACATGCCTTAATTCAACTCAAATCAAATGCTGCATCATTTGTCCTCAAACCAAACTAGCAAGTATAGCAATCAACTACTTCGTATGTCTCACATTAGGATCAGAATTACCAATCCACCAAGTAATATAGCAGTGGTAAGGTAGCATCTCAGTCATTCGTCAGCACATTCCCCATGGACTGGAGCAATCAAGGAACACCTAAGGCAACATGGGGAGGAGGAAGAACGAGAAGCTGGCTCACCTGCTCGACGTCGTCGCGGTCGAAGTCGTCCCTGCCCTGGCTGCCGTAGATGCCGGCGCCCTCGGCGTCCTTGTTCCCGAACTTGAAGAAGCACGTCGGCCCCACCCTCCCGCTCTCGCTCGCCGGCACCACCGCGCTCAGCCGCGACGGCCGCAGCCACCCCAGCCTCGCCGCCGCCCGCGGCGACCTCCTCGCCGCCGCCGCCGCCGACGCCGACGACGCCCTCGCGCTCAGCTGGAAGGTGCACGGGATGGATGCCATGGCTTCTCGCACGTTGGATGGTGGAGTAGCGAGAGGTGGAGAAGAGGGGAGAGAGATATATGGAGGGAACGGATAAGTTGTAAGTAATCTTGAAACTGTTTGGCACTTGGCCACTTGAAACTGATTGCTGTCAAGTTAGGTGATTAGATGCTTCCTAATTCTGAATCTTTTCACTATTTCACTTTTTTTCCTGTGGAAGACAGGACATGAGATATTCATAAAGTGCAGTGTAGAAGATATTAAAAAAAAGTGTATGATTTGTGATAAATCTGTGTGAGATAGGAGTACGTGCTAGAGCTGTGTGAGATATACTCCATCCCTCCGTAAAAAAAAAATCCGTCACCAAAAAAACAACCTAAAAGGATGTGACATCTCCTAATATAACAAATTTGGATTAAGTGCTGTTTAGATTTACTGTATTAGGAGGGGGTCACATCCGTTGGTTTTTTTTGAACGGAGGAAGTAAATTGTATGAGTGTTGTTAATTTTTTTAGAATTTTTTTTATAACCATTTGAATGGTTTTTAAGCTTACGAGAAGACATCCTCTTGAGAAATCAAAATAGATTCCTAGGATAAAAAGCAGTAGCATTAAGCCAGGTTTTAAGCTTGGAATTAGCTGTCTAATTACCATGTGAAATAGACACCCATAAAAAATGTGAAAAAAAGAAACGGAAATGCTACGCACCGGGATCCAGTTGGGACGGGATCCTTTGTCCTCCTTGCCTATCCAAAGAGAAGCGAGAGCTGAACGCCTGAGCCATGAGGAGGAGGTGGTTGCCGCTTATTGGCGAGGACCTTCGGCGCGGGCTGGGGAAGAGGACCTGCTCGGCGAGAAGAGGACGAGGCCGCCGGCGACGAGCCCCTTGTGGTGAGCTGCCGTGGTGTCGAGGACCCCATCTGTGTCGCGTCGAGGCAGCGGCGCGTCGCGGCCAAGCCGGCGGCGGGGGATACATCAACGAAGAGACGAGGGGCGTCGGTGGCCGAAGCTAAGGAACGCAGTGGTGACGGTGGCAAGAGCTAGAGGAGGGAGGGGCAGCGGTGGTAGCCGGAGCCAGGAAAGGGAGCGGCGGTGGTGGCTAGAGCCAAGGGGAGGAAGGGCGGTAGTGGTCGTCGGCGTCGGCGTCAGGTATGTCCAGCTTCTGATACCCAGTAGAAATCACCTATTATCTAGTAGGTATCGCCTGATACTTCATAGGTATCACCTGATATCTCGCAAGTATAGCCTTCTACGTGATAAGAATCGCATGATACCTAATAGGTATCACCTAATATCTCGTAAGTATCACCTTCTATGTGGTAAGAATCGTATACCTAATAGGAATAACCAAGTATCACCTAATACGTGGTAGAATCGTATGATACTTGATATGTATCACCCGATACCGATTAGGTATTAGGACTTGATAACTAATCGGTATCATCACGTCTGAAGGAGATTCCGTTGTATAGCAACCAAAAAAAGAAAATGGGTATGCAACTCTGCTTCAAAAGGGTATGTGTATAAATTTCAGTAAAAAGTAAAGGTGAAAAAAAAGATGGATAAATTTGATCCGTGCCATACTGGGACAACAGCACACTGCCTCCTGCATATTCCTGGAAAAAGGAATCTGTGTGCTCCGCTCTCAGCTTTGAGCTTTTGGCAGCTACCACCTGCAAAACATATGGCGGCAGCTTTGCCATGTGAATCATATTATTGTTTCATTCGGAAGTGTTTTTTCTTTCCCTTTAGGCTGAGTCTGAATCAGCCTTTTGTGAGTTGGCCGCTAGTAGGACTTGTTTTCCCTAAGATCCTAGGGTGTGTTCGGACCCAAGGGTTCCCAGCACCTCTCCATCGTTTTCCGCGTGCACGCTTTTTAAACTGTTAAACAATGTGTTTTTTGCAAAAAGTTTCTATACAAAAATTGCTTAAAAAATCATATTGATTCATTTTAAAAAAAAATTAGCTAATTTCTAATTAATCACGTGTTAATGGACCGCTCCGTTTTCCGTGCGAAGAAGATTTGTTCCCAACCTCCCCCAGCAAACACAGCCATAACCATGTTTTCTAAGTTGCTCACAGTATTTTTTTCTATAAACTTTTTTATAAAAAAAATATTTTAAAAATTTTAAAAATTATTTTTTAAAAAATATAATAGTTAATACTTAATTAATTGTACGCTAATAGTTTTTTCTCGTTAAACGTGCCATGGAAAAGCCAGTCTATTAAGCTGCTTTGAACTCACTATTAGCTTGCGGCGTTTTGACCTTCATTTGGGCTAAAGTTGTTATCTCGTTCTCTGTAAGCTCGTTTTCCCGATTAAATGATGTATTTCGTCCAAAAACTTTTTATATAAAAAATTCTTTAAAAAATTTAAATAAATCTATTTTATTATATCTCAGGAATGAACGGACAGTATCTTGCCGGGTATTTGCTTCTTGGCACTTTTCCAGAATTGTGAACCAGTTGGTAGAATAACCAGTAGGCTTGTAGAATAATAAGCCAGCTAGAAACAGTTAGAAGTTCTAAAAAAGCTAGGAACACAGTTAGGTCCTGTTTGGGAAGCCCAATAAATCCCTGCCAATATCTCAGTCCCAAGCCCAAATCATTTGGCATGGGTCTTGAATATCCTCACCATTATTTGATTAATGATTGGTTTTTTTACATATATTATGATTAATGATTGCTTAACCTTCAAACAGAGAAAGTTCCTGTTTGCTCCAACAAAACACTTCACACGGTTATCCTGTCAAGTAGGGCTATTAAACTAGCTCATCATCCAGCATCCAATCAAAGATCTTCCCTCTTGTCTCCTTCAGATGATATGCAACTGTGAGGGAGTTAGTACAGTGAGTAGTAGTGATCTCAGATCTTCTGACATTGCATTCAATCATGAACAGCTCAAATCTAGCCTCATTTTGGATGCATTGAGCTTGGTTATTTCAAACATCAATCAACAGTCTAGAAATCCCTACTTCCATTCCAGACTTCGGATGCCCCTTTCCCATCTCATCTCCCTTATTTTCCACACGTACGCTTTTCAAACTGCTAAACGGTGCGTTTTTTAAAAAAAAAAATTTCTATATGAAAGTTGTTTAAAAAATCAAATTAATCCATTTTTTTAACAAAATAGCTAATACTTATTAATTACACGCTAATAAACCGCTCCGTTTTCCGTGCGGAGGGATCCGGTTGGGATCCAGGAATAGCGAACACACCCAACAAGATTTCCTACTTTCCCATCAAGTTTGTATTTCCAAGATGACATACACCCTCCATGATGTAAAACCAAACAGTGGGTGTGTTTCTATCTTTCGCTGAATCTTATAAGCCAATGAGTCCTTTTTTTTTCCTTCCTAATACGGTGAAGTGGTAAATCACCATGTTAGCTAATCAATTACTAAAAATTGCATCCAATTTTGTAGTTCACTTCTGTCTTTCTACAGTACCTCGACGTGACACGGGAAAAAAGTTTCAAGAATCGTTTGTGCAAGATCTACCGTTGATTCGAGATCCAGCAACGCTCAACGCGCCAGTCTATAGGCTAAAAAACATGGAAAAACGATCTTGAACTCATCCAAATGGTTATAATTTTTTTAAAAAAAACTAATAAGATAAATTAATATATGATATATTACTTCGTAAACATATAATTTTGAATTGGCAAAACAAATTTAATTGTGAGTAGTAGTAGTATACGTTAACTAGCTAGTGTTTATGTTTGCAATTTGTGGAGATATAATTTTAACATGCATGTTTTTAGTGTAATATATCATATATTAATCTATCATATTACCTTGTTTAAAAAAAATAACTATTTGGACGGCATAAAAAAACGAGGAGACATTCACTCCAAAAGTTAAAATACGCAATTACGGGTACATCATACACATCACCACGAAGAACTTGCATTGCGACGATGGCAAAACGCTTCTCATAAATTAACTTAATTTGGTCATACCCATACACGAGAGAAACCAGCAAAAGAAAATTTTAATAACAACAATATAATTACTATAGCAAACATAATGCAATTCCGAATTGCAATTCGCGACACAGCTCGCCGTCAGGACTGAAGACGATCTGATTCTGCTCACGCGAACGTCTCCGACAGCTTGGAGAATCCCAGCCTCCTCAGCCGGCTGCTCATCGGGTTCCCGCACCTCACGTCCACCACCTCCACGCCGCCGACGCCGCGGCGCCCCCTCGCCGCCGCCTTCTTCGCCTTGCCGCCGCCGCCGCTCCGGTCGACGTCCGCCGCGAGCATCGGGGAGCTGGCCGGCGTGGTACTAGAGCTCCTCCTGCACGCCGCCGTCTTGCACGCCGACGACTCCTCGGCGCTCACGCGGTCAGTGCGCCGCCCGCTGCCGCCGCCGCTGCTGGTGGTGGAGAGGCTGGACGAGCTCTTCCTCAGCGCGGCGATCTTCCTCGGGCTGGCTCCGCATGGCACCGACACCGGGCTGCTCTGCCGCCTCAGCCGCCGCGGCGTCGTCGCCGCGGCTGTGGCGTGCGGCGGCGCGGCCTTGATGGCCTCCAGCTCCCTCGTCATCAGCGAGCCGATGGTGCCGGTCGTGCCGACCTTCACCGCGCATGCTGCTGCTGCCGCCGCCTCGCCATTGGCGAGCTCGGCCGCAGCACAAGGCATGATCTGGAAAAAAAAGATAATTTATCACAACTAAACAAACATATGCTACTGACAAGAGGAAAACTAAAGCTACGAGTGAGAAGTGCGTTGCAAGGGTGAAAAGAAGTTAGGGGGAAAAACAAAAAAAAAGTTGGTGACAAGAAGAACAAAAAATCATGATGTTCTTGAGCATGCAGAGATGGTGGTATATGAGAGGTGCATCATGGCATGCACTTGGCCACCATGATTGCAGCTTGGGAAAACTAGAGAGTGTAAAAAGATAAGACTGCAATGAGTCAGACACCACCATGGTAACATGGGCATCAATCTGTCTGTTCCTAATTCATGAAGGGAAAAATGATTTTTTTAAAAAAAAAATAATTCTAACCAATTTGTTCAAAGAAACAACTAGTTTGGTCTTCTAATTCAAGAAGTATGATATCCACACAACAAATCTAACCAATTTGTTCTCCAAATTCAATAATTGTGATGTCCACGCAGTAAATCCAACCAATATGTTCTCCTCATTCAAAAACTATGATATCCAAACAACAAACCTGACTACTAAAAATCTCCTCATTCAAGAATTGTGCTGTTTGTTCAACAAATTGTACATTTTTCTTAGGTGAACAAATTCAACCTTTGGTCCTGTTAAGTCTACTTGGTTAAAAACTTTTTATCCATAAATCTAACTAAGAATTGGCAGAAATCCAGTAACAGAAGGCAATGGATGTCACTCTCTGGAGGGGTTACAGTATCTAATCTTCTCATAATAATACTACAATCAATGCAATGTTGACATACAACACTGGGATTAAGAAATCTCAACAAGCTGTTCTAAAGTTGTGGTCGAATTAACACAGGAGTTAAGGAAGGCAATGTCGAAAACGATATGCCGTCTGCGTGATATAAACGATTTTAAGGACAATTTGACCAGCAATTTTAAGGTGTGGAGATGCACTATGCTCAAGCAAACCTTTCAGCCCCTTTTCCTGTCCCTTCCTTTCTGCCTTAATTTCCTCAAATTGCATCTACACACTACTGATGCCAACTTTCTAGACCACATATTATGTAGGCCACATTGGCTTGTTCCTCTTTTTCTTCTTCCGAAAAATAAAAAAGGTAGTACTAATAATAATGATTTACCACCAACAGCAGCAAGAGATAATCAAAATGGAAGGAAGCATCAAGCATCACTTCAGGGGATGCCAACTGGGCAAAGTAAAGAACCTACTCTCTTCTGTCCCTGTTTCTTTGCATTTTATTAATGTACCCTAATGTTCTTGGATTCCTTAGGTTACTAATCTAATGAATAAAATCAATTGCGGCACAAAATCATGTGACAGTGCCTACCAAACTCCTTATCTAATACAGGGATGGAAGAAAACAAGAACTAGACCACGCAATTGTAACAAATTTTCATTTTCTTGAAAAGAGGCAACAAATGAGCAGCATTAAACAAGAGCTCACATTTCCACTTCTGCATGTCGGACAATATATGGTTTTTGGGGTGCAGATTTAATGTTCTAAACCACAATCTTTCAGGTCAAAGCCCAGAAGAAGCATGGACAGAGAACAGAAGCTGACAGTTTGATTAAAAAAAGGCATACAAGAGCATCCAGAAAACATAATGAACTGCTCTCTGTTCCATACAGCAGACAATTTGGGGGAGGAGAAAAAACAAAAAGAAGAATAGCAGCTGAAAGCCTGAAACCACTATGGATTAGCCATCAAGAACTCCACGCATGGAATGAATTTGTGGGAAAATACATCAACCAAAACCACCCTAAGAAATGGTAAGAGGAAATACCAAAACAAGAACCACTGAATCCCCAATTAATGGAGCTTCAACAAACAACTGGTAGTAATGAACCAATGATTATGCAGCAAATCTCCAATCTCTCCAGCACCAGATGGCCAGAGCCCAGAGAGATTACACAGAGCAAGCAAAAAACATGAACAGGGTTCATACCAGCAGGCCTGTTCGATCTTGAACTTCTTGAATCTCTGCACTGCACTCCACCAGAGAGACAGAGAGAGAGAGAGAGAGAGAGAGAGAGAGAGAGGAGGAGGAGGAGAAAACAAAATGGAGATGAGGACAGGAGACTCAGGACTGAGGAGGAGCAGCCTCTGAGCCGAATTGATGAAGGGGTGAGGGGAGAGTAGGTCACATTCAAATGACCTGTTTGTGTGCCTTGAAGGGTGCAACTTATACACCTCTCCCCATTTATTGCCTGCCGGCTGCTTCTTCTTCTCTTCGCTCTCTTCTCTGTCATTCTGACTCGAATTCCCTGTCTATAGGTGTTTAGTACACGTTAAAATTAGAAGTTTGGTTGAAATTAGAATGACGTGACGGAGAAGTTGAAAATTTATGTGTGTAGAAAAGTTTTGATGTGATAAAAAAATTGGAAGTTTGAAACTAAACTTGGCCATAAAAAAACAACTCTTAAGTGTAAATTTAGACTGGACATGTATAAAAGTTATTTAGTATATGTGCTTTATATATATAAGTTATTTGATATATGTATGAAAGTTACTTTTTTCTGGGACGAAGAGAATAGTGTCAAATGTCATTTGTGTGTTGTGAACAAATTATTCTTTTTTCCATTTGGTATTTTCTAGTAAGGCATTTCAAGAAAAGAATAGTATATTTGTGAAGGGGTTACATGCAAATTGGGCTTTCTTGGAATTAAAGAATTCAGTACTTGGAGGTATTTGGGGTTTTGGACAGATTCCACCTCGGTGACATAAAAGATTTTTTAAAGCTTTCCACATGCCTGAGTTGAAATTTCAGGCTAATTATATGTCCGTGTGTGTTTTGACTATCACAACAACAAACATGGCATATGCTTACTGTTTCAGCTAAGCAGAACCAATTCTAAATACTAGTAGCATCTTGGGATGTTACTTCATTTTATAACTTAGTAGTATCAATTTTTATTTAGGATGCGGCGTATCAAAATACTTGTCCTTTTTTTAAAAAAAATATTTGCCCTTTGAGTAATTCAAGAATGAAGATATTGCAGCAATTTTTTTATTTACTACCCCTTAAGTGTATGTAGTGTAATAGTTGTTTGTATGGTATATCAATTAATAGGTTTATGTGTTTGTGACATGGAAAGGACAATTTATTATAATTTTCCTATTTCACAAAAAAAATGTTTTTCAGCTGTAATTTAGGAGAAATCTTCACATAAGAACCGGATTTTTTTTAAGAAAAAACACTTAAAACTCTGACACATCCAGTTAATGTGGAGATGGGCACGTCATGAACGAGCTCCAAACAGGAAAATTAAACAGCCTGTCGGCTGATATCAGGTCATTTGCAAATGGATGTTTTTCTCTACGTATTTGCGCAATTGTGCTGAGCTTGTCTTCCCAAAATTCGATTTCCGAGCAAGACTGCTTATTCAAATGGATATGAAAAACTTAAAAAGGTCTAAAAGAAAGAGAACTCGCTTAAAAGACAAGAAAGTTTGATTAAAAAAATATATTAGAAAGGAGCTATTGTGGAGAGCGCAGAAAGGCGACAGTCAAACACATGTATGGAGTTGTGGACCGCAACCTGCGTTTTGCCTCTCAAATGGGAGATGTTCATGATTGCTTTGATACTCATTTATTCAAAAAATAAAGATTGATTTCATGTTCTAATTTTAATCATCTTGACTTTTCGTGATAAAAATATTTGACATTTATAGATAAGATTTGATGAAAATTTTGATTATCAATATTTTGTTAAATGGTCAACATTTATAGATAAGTTTAAGGGCATGTTCAGTTTGATGCATAACCAGAATTTAGCAAAGTCTGGGAAATGCCAAAAAAATGGTAAGGTAGAGATATGTGGTTGTTGTTTGATTTGGTACTTAGCAATTATTTCGTGTGAAGCTATATGAAAAAGATTTGGTATAGTATTATTTTAGATATGTGTTTGGATTACTAGCTACCTAATGGAATTTTTTTAAACTGCCTAATGGAAATTCAACAGTACCAAAACTTGTTAAGATTAGAAATAGTAGTAAAGTGAACAAGTCCTTTTTTTTCCCAGAGGGAGCTGCAGTGAAATGTTGCACGCTACTTCATTATCAAGCCGGCATGAGCAAATTAAAGATATAAATCAAGCGCCATTAATTACGATCAAATCATCGGCAAATCAATTTTGAAAAATTCTGGTTAGTACTAGTTTAATCAGTGCACCGTACGCGTGTTCTGAATTTTGATCGGCTTGAAATGATAGTTGCTTGGACATGCAAGGACTTAAACTAATTAAGCAAGATTATATCAGACAGCGTACGTTCTGTTTACAATTCGTAGTTTACCGTAACTACGGCACCATCACTTTCCCATCCGTTAATTGGTGTTTGCCCTGCACGTTGATTAATTGTTTTGATACGCTCTCTAATGCAAGTCAACGATGGCCTCATGTTACCTGCTTTAATTTGTTAATAATAATTAGATTGGTGTTAATGAGATTGGTCCTTGTAGTAGTTGTGACTGATTAGTGCTGCCTGCTGGAATTGGACGTACGTACGTGGTACGTGCCACCTGCAGGGCAATTTATATGTTTGGAAATGGTGAGTACCTGATCTCGTTGTCTGTTTCTGAAGTAGTAGCCCACGATGGTTAGTTAATTTGGCTGAGTCGTTCAAAATGAGTTTGGTTTTTTAACTCCCTTATTTACCATAAGCACAAGCACGTACGCTTCCTAAATTATTAAACGATATTTTTTAAAAAAAATTTAAAAAAAATTAAATAAATTAGTTTTTAAGTTTGTATTAATCATATTTTAATCACTTATTATCTTATTTATATGTGTGGGTCATAAACTCAGCCTAAACATCATATTAAACTATTATTACAGCACTAGTTACTTGGCACTATAGCACGTCATACTCGTACCATGTACAGGTAGGATAGCTAGATCAATCTGGACCGTGTTACTTTGCATTGAGATCCAGCTGTGTAAATGCTATGTACTCCTATTTCTGTTGTGATTAGGGCCTGTTTTGGTGGCAAAAATTTTGCCCATGCATATCACATTGGATATACGGACACACATTTAAAGTATTAAATGTATTCTAATAACAAAATAAATTACAAATTTTGCCATGAAACTGCGAGACGAATTTATTAAACCTAATTAATACATCATTAGCAAATGTTTACTGTAGCACCACATTGTCAAATCATGGTGCAATTAGGCTTAAAAGATTCGTCTCGCAATTTACACGCAATCTGTGTAATTATTTTTTTCTACATTTAATACTCCATACATGTATTCAAACATTCGATGTAATAGCGTGAAAAATTTTGTTTGGAAACTAAACATGCCCTTAAAATACATACTCTCTCCGTCCCATAATATAAGGGATTTTGAGTTTTTTTTTATTGTTTGACCACTCGTCTTATTAAAAAAATTGTGCAAATATAAAAAACGAAAAGTTGTGCTTAAAGTACTTTGGATAATAAAGTAAGTCACACAAAAAATAAATAATAATTCTAAATTTTTTTGAATAAGATGAGTGGTCAAACAGTGCAAGCAAAAACTCAAAATCCCTTATATCATGGGACGGAGGGAGTATTTTACCTTGATTTTTCTTAGCACGTTTTTTATACTGTTTCGTGTCAGAACTTCTATATAAAAGTTGCTTTAAAATATAAAATAAATACATATTCACGTTTATAATAATTAAAACTTAATTAATTACATGCTAATGGTTTTCTCGTTCTACAATATTTAATTGACTTTAATTGAACGAAGAAGTCATTCAATTGACTTAATTGTTTAGTGGGTAAGAGGTATATATACAACATAATTAATTGTTAGTGGATAAAGGCCAAGGGGCATAGAACTATAGATACAACATAACTAATTCCTGCTTTAATTGACTTAATTAATTTAATTTAATTGCTAATGACTTTAATTGAACGGATCTAGTAGTTGAAGCCCGATGCTTTAATGTGGGATGCATAGAGTTAAGTATAAAAATAACACATGCATATAAGTTAAAAATACTGTGAAAATGAAGTGGGGATGGTGATGATTTGAAATATTTTCTAATGAATAATGACGTGACATATCTATATGCTGTAATACTTTCTAAAAAAAATATTTAGCGTTAGTTAACTCAAAATTAAACTAATCAACACCTAATATTTCGGAAAAGGAGATAGCAAATTAATTGTTAGTGGGCAAGGGGTATACAACTATACATACAACACTTACACTACCATAACATCGCGCATTAGCAGGACAAAGCTGTATCGCATCCATATATATGATCCAAATAAAGCAGGGAAATCCAACCGAGCCGTGCTCGAAGTTAATTAAACCGTCGCATCGAGCAGGTGATGGACCGCCGCGGCAGAGGCCGGGACGGGGCCCGGGCACGTATACTACATGGGTACGTATAGGCCATTATCGTCCCAACCACCGCTACAGGGCAAGCAGAGACCGACGCACGCATCATGCGTCGTCCTACTTACTCTACGTACTTCCTATAGTAAAGAAAGTCATTTAGCACAGCGATACGGTCTCTAAAATACAATTTTGACTTTTTGTTTCTATAAAAATATTTATTGAAAAGTGATATATGTATATCTTTATGAAATTATTTTTCAAGACAAATCTATTGACATAAGTTTTACATTTTTCAAATTCAACAACTTGAGAGTTATTTATGATTTATATTCTTAAGGTTTGACTTAAACATTGTCCTAAACGACTTCTTTTACGAGTACGAAGATAGTACACCCTTCCTTTAAATACTTTGTCCTACTTACTCTCTAATAATTATTTTCACCTATTTTTTAATATCAATATTTCTTTATATCAAAATATAAATCACAACCATTTTTTCAATATTTAATACAAGATACTCATGCATGACTGCAAATAAATAGCACCTTCGTCTTCTCCTTAGCTTACCTTTTAAATACTTCCACCCTCGAAGTCTCCCGTCGTACTGGGTGCATACATATGAATACCTAGTCACGATTTGGAATTTCGAGCCTAAAAATAATTGAGATTGAGGGAGTGTTTGATTGGGACTAAAATTTTTTAGTCTCTGTCCCATCGGATGTTTGACACTAATTAGAAGTATTAAACGTAAACTAATGATAAAACCCATTCCATAACCCTGGATTAATTCGTGAGACGAGTCTATTTAGCCTAGTTAATCCATAATTAGCCTATGTGATGCTACAGTAA